TGGTTGATTATCACTGATTCATTTTTTTAAACATGTTTTTTGTTAAAAATTTTTTATATTTGCTTGATGCTCAGGGGTGGAAATAACCCATTGCCCGATGTCCGAGTCTAGTGTTTTTTTCTGTCGGGCAAGCAAATTTGTATATCACACTGTACCGGTGTCCAGTTGACTTTCCAATGTTAATTATGTTGTTTATTTAAAAAATCGGCAAGAAAACGGTCGGTATAGTGGAAAAATTATCAGGGCAAGTGACTTTACATGTGCCACTGTACCGGAGTACACTATCAATTTTAAAGTTATTTCCACCCCTGATGCTGACTGAAGGTTTTGTGGACATATGTTCACTGACATGTTCAACCAGTACTAGGAAGCTGTCAGTGGCTGCACGGTGGTTGTCGTCGGTTGTCGTCGGTAGTCTACCACAAAGTAGGTCTTTGTGAAAGAACAGACATGGGTGTGGTGGGGATGAGATGGGAGGACCTTTGACCCATATATCTAGCTACCATGGCTGATATAATATCAAGAACAGACCTGAATGGATTTGTTGGAGAGAGTTTACTAGGTTGACAGTTCTTCAAACGACTGGGGGAAATTGACAGGAAGGAAAAGTGAGTGTTTTCCGTTCTCACGTCTCTTGCTGTTTAATGTATTTAGATAAATGCCTTGTCAGTTTTATGATTTTTGTCTCGGCTCATGCATTATATTTTTGTGCATGGAAAGTTTAATTAAATTATTTTTGCTAGTCTTCATTGTATCAAAACTTTTCATGTGATAAACTGTGTTTCACTTTTTTGACAACAGATATTATTTCTATGTCAAACATGTAAAATGTTTAATCGATATATTTTACCCTGACTTCAGTAAATACTGGATTGTGATTGGTTAATTTAAGTCATTCAGAGGTATATGATCACATTTTATACACCTTGGATTTTCCAACACAATATGTATTGTTTTTAAATCTTAACGCGGTTATGGTAGAATGGAGATAAACATACTGTGTTGCAAAATCAGAGGTATGTCACAAAATCAGAGGTATGTCACAAAATCAGAGGTATGTCACAAAAACAGAGGTATGTCACAAAATCAGAGGTATGTCACAAAATCAGAGGTATGTCACAAAAACAGAGGTATGTAACAAAAACAGAGGTATGTAACAAAAGAGGGTATGTAACAAAATCAGTGGTAACGAAACAATACTTTCATTACATCTCCTAATTCATATATTTCTTGTACACTTTCTCCACTTCGAAATCCGTTGTAAGTTTTGTTATTAGTCGTGGTGAATATTCATGTTCCGCAAGGGTGGAGATAAGAAAAGAGCACCTTGTTTACGCAAGTATTGATCAGTTATGTCCAAAATAAAATCCCATGTGAAATATGATGGCAGTGTGAATGTTCTTTTTATCCGAACGTGTGAACATGCAAATAACATAAAAAAAATTTCTTCCCTTATTTGAATGTTTGCAGTCATGTGTTGTCATATACAAGTGCACTTACAGGCAACGGGGAGTAGCAAAGACTCTTGTTTGCTCTCTGTAAATGTTACTTTGTCAAGATGGATCATTGGTGGTGTATGTCATTATTGAATTGCTGCCTGAGGTGGTGGTTCCAGGTGGAATTAGGAAGTACCTGAACAAAAACGTCTTTGTAGCCTTTTATTGGCCTCCAGTTGTTGTCCTTGTTTTGTTGACATGGGTATGTGGGTTCTTGTGTTTAACTTGCTTGTACACAAGATGAAGCAGAGTGGATAATAGCTGACCCCCTCTCGATAAATAGATAAATAATTTTATAAATAAATAAGTAAATTGATCAATGAGAAGAGATCAAATTATATTTAAATTAAATTAAATAAATGTATTCCCACCGTGATATAATATATCTGCAATATTGCTGAAAAGGGCACAAAACCTCAATCAAATTTTTTATTTTATACATTCAAGTCTTATTGGAAAGAGGATATTGGACAGTACATGTAGATATATTGTTCTTTACCAGAACTTGCCTGTACTCTAGTTGTGTGTGAAAGATACTTTCCAAGCTGTATCAGTTGATATTACAACAGTTTTGGACGTGGCAAAGTCAAGTTAGATATGTATGATGTTTGAATTTTGTTATCCTTTTTGCACGTGTTTATTTTATACAAGTATCTTCAGAGTGATAGACACCCATGTACTGTGCTTGGTTTATGAGAATTGGTCTTAAACAACCTGTGCTTGTCGTAGGAAACGGCTGATGGGATTAGGTGGTCAGACTCGCTAACTTGGTTGATACATGTCATTATATGCCAATTGCATGAATCGATGCTCATGCTGTTGATCACTGGATTGTCTGGTCCAGACTGAATTTTTTACAGACTGCCACCATTTAGCTAGAATATTGCTGAGTGCGGCGTTAAACAACCAACAATCAAACCTACCCACCCACTTGAACACCAGTTAATTATTGACTAGTATTATGTATATTTTACCCCGCTTATGAAGTAACGGGTATATAGCATTCATTCTGTCTGTACTGCCGCCATATAGCTGGAATATTGCTGAGTGCATGGCGTAAAACTAAACTCAATCATTCTGTCCGTCCTTTTGTGTTTCCATCAATCCTTCAGTTCCGAAACTTTGTCATGAGCATATCTCTTAAAGTGTACATGCTAGGTTCACCAAACTTCACACACATGTTAATCATTACCCATAGATGTGATTTTGCTATTTTGAAGTTTATCAGAATTATATTTTTTTTTTGTTTCCATGGTAACATGACTTGGTGCAAAAATGTGTTTGATGGTTAGCTTGTCCAGAGCTCATCACCGAAACTACACATGCTAGATTCTCCAAACTTAACACACAAGTTGATCATGACCCACAGATGTGCCTTTTACTATTCTAAAGTTAATCAGAATTATATTTTTTGTTGTTTCCATGGCAACATGACTCGGTGCAAAATGTGTTTGATGGTTATCTTGTCTGGAGCATGTCTCTGAAGCTATACATGTATATAAAGTTTAGTAGAGTCAAGGAGAGAGTCTTGTGAGCTGCTGATCCTTGTCACATTATATATATATATATATATATATATATATAATTTGTCATTTCCATGTCCCAAAGTGGGAAGCGGAGGTATGTGAGCTGTGCTCACTTCTACACTTGTTGCTGTATGTCTTGATGTGTTGGTCGGATTGTTTCTTGTGCTCTGCCCTGAGAGAATGAATGTCTGAGCACTGGAGATAGTTGTGCAGTGTCACAACACTAGGGCTAGGGCGGGTCAGAATTTTCTACCCGGGTACCCTCCCTCTATTACCCTACCCTACCCCTTATTACCCTACCCTACCTCTTATTACACTACCCTACCCGGATACCCGTTATGTTAATTCCTGACATCAAATATGTAAGAAATGGCAATATATTCTTCAGCTCGGAGGCTAACATTTCAAGGTTTTTCAATATCTTAACCATACATTTTATTCAAAGGAAGTGACTGTAATTATGTCTAAATCTTCAAAGACAAAACAATGTTTTAATCATGTAAGAATAATATACTACATTGTTTAATCTATTAGTCATGTGATCATGACAGGTCTGGGTATTGAGACGGGTACCCGGGTCTAACTCATTACCCACCTGTCCCGGGTATCCAGGTTACCCGTCCCCGTCCCCAGCCCCAGCCCCCCCCCCGCCCCCAGCCCCAGCCCCAGCCCCCAGCCCAGCCCCAGCCCCAGCCCCAGCCCCAGCCCAGCCCCAGCCCCCAGTCCCAGCCCAGCCCCAGCCCAGCCCAGCCCCAGCCCAGCCCAGCCCAGCCCAGCCCAGCCCAGCCCCGCCCCAGCCCCAGCCCCAGCCCCAGCCCCAGCCCCAGCCCCAGCCCCAGCCCCAGCCCAGCCCCAGCCCCAGCCCCAGCCCGCCCCCGCCCCAGCCCAACACAACCCTGTGGCCAGGTTAAGGAAATGTGGACACCATACCACCCTAACAATGGTCAAGGAGTGGTAGATATCTGTGAACTACTTTCAGGTCATGTTTGTTCAGGAAATGGTTACGATGACATGCCTGACATACACCTTTTCTCCAACAACATTATTGATGTGTTTAACCTTTCAGTAGCCCATTGTCACCTATGTCTGGCCTGTTCTCCATGCAGTTTGATCGCCATTTCCAACCAACAGGTGGAAAATGTTGCTCTGATTTCATTACTGGATATAAGACTCAACCCAGACACACCACAACAACAGATCAATGTTTTGTAATATCCTCTCAATATCTGATAGTTTCACATGAGTGTACTCTCGATACCCAACACTGTCTCGAATGAATCTGCACTCTACCTGATTGTCTCAAGTGAATCTGTTCTCGGTACCTGATACTGTCTCCGGTGAATCTACTTGTCAAGACAGGTGAAGTCTGGATCAGGTTTTGTTTACGGAAATGGATATTTAACTAATAGTCTGATTATATTAAGCAGAGATATTATAGCGTGGATGGTATTACAGTCAAATGTACATGGTGATAGGAGGCATGGCCTGTGTATGAAGGGAGGGACAGGTGATTTCTTAATGGATGAGGAGTTGACATCGCCACACAGAGGCTGTATAATATTTTGTACTCTTCTTGCTGAACTGTATGTGAATCAGTCATGAATGTTTTAACCATGAATCTGGAGGATTTTTCATAGAATAGGCATGTATATATTTGTTTTATGTTGTGAGAATTTTAGTACATCTTGTGGAAAATTTGTAGTGGTTAACCTGACTTGAAAGTTTGTGATCTCATGCTGCGCTTGGTTGACCCATAGATTCAGATAATGGAATGGTGTTGAGATTATTGACGGATTGTTTAGCTCAGTGGTTAAAGCCTTGACTTGACGAACTAAGTTGTTTTTCCCCATGTGAAGCTTGTTTGTGTTGGTCCTTCCACTGTGTAAGACCATACTTGAGGTTGTGTAAAAGTGTTTAGGATTATATTCCAGTACGCTCTGTTTGTATTTGTCACGTTTAACTTCTGTTCTGTTTTCAGGAAAACAGTACCTTATTCAAGTCTGCGTTCACTACCAGCTGCCCTGAAAAATAGTAAGTACATACATGTATAGCATGTTAATGGTGAAATAATTCCATGGAAAAGTTGTTACTTGTGCTTATTTGTAACACTGATTGCTAAAACTTCACACCTGATAAATGTTATGACAGCTAATGAACTTTTAAGTAGGCAATTTAACCTTCACACACCCAATTTTACATTTACAAAATGTGCTTGTGATGTGAGAGCTGTCTGTAACGTCAGTGATGGGCGTCGACTCCCCTTTTAGTATCAGTTTACTGTTCACACATGACAAAAGGTTGTTAACACTCTGAGGGACATATTGCCCAGCTATTGTATACGACAGTTATACCATGGTAGCCGTGTGATAAATCACTGTATGGTTATCACTATAGGGAAAGAGGAGAAAGGGCCCTAGCTACGCCTGTTTAGTGATGGCGGACAAGACAGAATGAGGGACAGTCATGATTATTTTATGATAACCCTTGATGAAAGGGTCTGTTGTGATCTATCGGGTATGTTTTGTTGGGTACAAAGGGTTAAGTTTCCTTTTTTACATTGATGATGATAGTGATATGATCTGACAATATACATTGGTGAATAGATTGGATTGGTTTGAGTGCAGTAGCTTTAAATGCTGTACGACATGACCTCGAATAGAAACGCCTTCTTTGAGCTGAACAGCACGGGATAAGAGATATAGAACTTCCTTGTGAACAGATAACATTTTTGTAAGTGTATTGACTCGGCCTTTTGAAATGTTTGAATTGATATCGATATTTATGCAATTAAACGGTCCTTGAGATATGATGCCAGAGTATGCAAATCACTGAACCCCTTAATTCTTCTGTTGACCCTTTCATGTATTCAAGGTCTCGTGATTTATCTGTACTAGAAACGTCCAAACACCACTTGACATGCATTCCATCAGGAACCAACTCGTTGAAATGGGATGTGGACTGTTGAAATAACATACCACATGAATTTGCCGGACGTCATTATAGTTCTGTGTTGTTCTTTGTTACATGGTACAGGACCACCTCCGTGGTGTAGTGGGTGGAGCGTCCGCCCGGAGAGCCGTAGGTCGCGGGTTCGATCCCCGACCGCGTCATACCAAAAGGCGTTAAAATATGGTACTTGTTGGTCCCTGCCTGGCGCTCGGCATTAATGGGTACAAGAAGGACTGGTCGGCTCGGAGTCAGTATAATGTGTCTGAGTGGGGTATTCATGCTTCACTGCGGCATGGTATGTCAGTGGGCTAGCACTATAAAACCAGCTTAAGTCTGGGCTAGTACAAGCAGCCGCACATACACATACACACACATGCACGTCGTCATATGAGCGAAATATTCTCAAGCACGATGTTAAACCCCATATCTCTTCACCTCACCTTGTTACATGATCACCAAATGGAGCAGAAAATCTTGTGTATAAGTATTTCAGTCTGAAAGGGGTGCAGTGGGCAGGGTTATTTAAATACTGTGTTTCACTCTTAAGTTTGTATCATGGTGGTGTGGGTTAGCCTAGTGATTAAAGAATTTGCTTACGCTGAAGACCCGGGTTTGATTCCCCACAATGTGTAAAGCCCATTTTTGGTTTCCCGAGCCGTGATATTGCTGGAATATAACTAAAAGTGGTGTAAAACTAACACTCACTCACTCACTCACTCACTCACTCACTCACTCACTCACTCACTCACTCACTCACTCACTCACTCACTCACTCACTCACTCACTCACTCCTCTCACTCACTCACCTCTCACTCACTCACTCACACTCATTGATTGTGACAATGTTGGAGATGTCATGCTGAAATCTTTTAAGAATAAAGAATTCCAGTTGTAAATTTAATGCCACAAGTGACGTCTTCTGTAGTCTGGAAAGGCATTAAGAGAGGTATTTGTTGTTACAAGGATTGGTCAGTTCAGTGCCTTCAGTATTCATGTTAAACTGTTCCATAGTAACTATTTGCACTGGCAGTATGACACCGATATGAGCATGATGGTGTCTGTAGATACATAAATTTCTTTACAAGTATCTTAAACACGATGTTCAAAAACACTTTGTCATAAAAAGTAACTAGCGAGTGAGTTTAGTTTTACGCCACACTCAGCAATATTCCAGCTATATGGCGGCGGTCTGTAAATAATCGAGTCTGGACCAGACAATCCAGTGATCAACAGCATGAGCATCGATCTGTGCAATTGGGATACGATGATATGTGTCAACCAAGTCAGCGAGCCTGACCACCGGATCCCGTTAGTCACCACTTACAACAAGCATGGGTTACTGAAGGGTTTATGGACAAGAAGTCGACCTTTTGAAATTTCGCTATGGACACGAAGTCGACCCGCGGTAAACTTTGATGTTTAAGGCGTTGCTAGAGTCACGCTAATCTGCTAGTAGGTGTTGTTTTAAGATTTTCCATAACCGAAGCATCGCATAAGGCGTGAACATATTTCACTCAAAATGTCATCAATGTTATCATACATATGAGAGTGAATTCACAATAATGAACATATTTAAGGAAGGAACACGCGGTAGATTGCATTCAATTTCGATATGGCAAATACACAGTTACATGATACCTGTGTGTTGGTGGATTTATGAGTGAAGCGAAAATTGGATATCCTGGAAGTGCACAGAAAAGAAGTGTAATGTCACTCGCGCCAACTGTCAATGACATTGTGACGATGGTGAAAGGTGACCATGCTCATCCCCGTGTCCAAGTAGACATAAAGGTAAGCATCTTGTCAATGCCTGATATCAATCTGTTACTAAGGAAAATATAAAAGTAAAATAGATATATCAAATCTGAATAATGTACGTGACCATGTTTTGCATATCGTTTAATATATTTTGTTAACAATTCTAACAATTTATATATAGCAGTAGAGTGGTGTAACGTGGTCTGTGTAAAAGAATTTGTAAAAAGAAATAATAAATCTACTTTTATTATCTTTCAGATGAACCAGACAGTTTGCAAATGGTGCATCTCACCTACTTCATGTTGGATGATTTCGTATACGAAATAAAATGGACGAATTATAGTACTTTTCTCCTGTTGTCTGTGTTCTCGACCGCATAATCTGGATTATCGCCTTGTGAAAACACTGGATTATTGCTTTGTCTTTTCTAATCCCCTGTTAATTGGTATAAGGTCAAATGGACAGGACGTCGACCTTTTTTCTTAACTGAACCGTGACATTTCACCCAAGGGTCGACGTCCTGTGCAGACACCTGCTGAAGACCAATTCTAACCCGGATCTTCACGGGTTAGCTAATGGGATCAGTGACTAATTGACACATGCTAATTAAGTAGATTGATGCTGATAATGTCAGTCATTGGATTGTCTGTTCCAGACCCGATTATTTCCCAATTGCCGGCTAATAGTTAGTGTGGCATTAAGCAACTGACAATTATCCTATTTGGGTTACACTGATTATAGGGTTCATGTTGTGATAAACTTTTTGAAAGTTATATGATGATTTGAAGTATCTGTGAATGAATGAGGAATACCACGTCAAAGCATGCGATAGAACATTGCTTATGCCAGCTGGTGCATAGCTAAAGCATTGAGAAGCTCCATGCTGAAAGCATCATTGAACATGAATGCTAGGAGGGTACATATGTTTGCAGTTTGTAACTGGTGATTATTCCAGATGGGTGTGTCGCGGGTACCTTTACGTACTGCAACAGACAGGCATTTTATTCATCTTTAACTGATGTCCCTGATTATTGAGCTGTCTATTTTTATGGTCTGATTGTCAGAAACGTACATGCTGAAGGTTGACTGGCAGTTTCTATGTTTTCATCTATATTGGGAGCACAAGTTATTAAGGGTTTCTTGTATTGGGAGCACAAGCTAATTAAGGGTTTCTTGTATTGGGAGCACAAGTTATTAAGGGTTTCTTGTATTGGGAGCACAAGCTATTTAAGGGTTTCTTGTATTGGGAGCACAAGCTAATTAAGGGTTTCTTGTATTGGGAGCACAAGCTAATTAAGGGTTTCTTGTATTGGGAGCACAAGCTATTTAAGGGTTTCTTGTATTGGGGAGCACAAGCTTTTTAAGGGGTTTCTTGTATTGGGAGCACAAGCTAATTAAGGGTTTCTTGTATTGGGAGCACAAACTATTTAAGGGTTTCTTGTATTGGGAGCACAAGCTAATTAAGGGTTTCTTGTATTGGGAGCACAAGCTATTTAAGGGTTTCTTGTATTGGGAGCACAAGCTATTTAAGGGTTTCTTGTATTGGGAGCACAAGCTAATTAAGGGTTTCTTGTATTGGGAGCACAAGCTAATTAAGGGTTTCTTGTATTGGGAGCACAAGCTAATTAAGGGTTTCTTGTATTGGGAGCACAAGCTATTTAAGGGTTTCTTGTATTAGGAGCACAAGCTATGTAAGGGTTTCTTGTATTGGGAACACAAGTTATTAAGGGTTTCTTGTATTGGGAGCACAAGCTAATTAAGGGTTTCTTGTATTGGGAGCACAAGCTAATTAAGGGTTTCTTGTATTGGGAGCACAAGCTAATTAAGGGTTTCTTGTATTGGGAGCACAAGCTAATTAAGGGTTTCTTGTATTGGGAGCACAGGCTATTTAAGGGTTTCTTGTATTGGGAGCACAAGCTATTTAAGGGTTTCTTGTATTGGGAGCACAAGCTAATTAAGGGTTTCTTGTATTGGGAGCACAAGCTAATTAAGGGTTTCTTGTATTGGGAGCACAAGCTATTTAAGGGTTTCTTGTATTAGGAGCACAAGCTATGTAAGGGTTTCTTGTATTGGGAGCACAAGCTAATTAAGGGTTTCTTGTATTGGGAGCACAAGCTAATTAAGGGTTTCTTGTATTGGGAGCACAAGCTATTTAAGGGTTTCTTGTATTAGGAGCACAAGCTAATTAAGGGTTTCTTGTATTGGGAACACAAGTTATTAAGGGTTTCTTGTATTGGGAGCACAAGCTAATTAAGGGTTTCTTGTATTGGGAGCACAAGCTAATTAAGGGTTTCTTGTATTGGGAGCACAAGCTAATTAAGGGTTTCTTGTATTGGGAGCACAAGCTAATTAAGGGTTTCTTGTATTGGGAGCACAGGCTATTTAAGGGTTTCTTGTATTGGGAGCACAAGCTAATTAAGGGTTTCTTGTATTGGGAGCACAAGCTAATTAAGGGTTTCTTGTATTGGGAGCACAAGCTATTAAGGGTTTCTTGTATTGGGAGCACAAGCTATTTAAGGGTTTCTTGTATTGGGAGCACGAGGTAATTAAGGGTTTTTTGTATTGGGAGTATGAGGTATTCAGGACAGCTTATGTTCAAAGGGTACAATGTGTGAAGCCCATTTCTGGTGTCCCCCGCTGTGATACTGCTGGAATATTGCTAAAAGAGGCGTAAAACCAAACTCACTCATGGGTTATATTAACATGTAAAAGGGGGATGTAAGGCCTGCTTCAGTTTAGTCCTTTTCCCGCATGAAACGAGGCGGTGATCAAACTGTTTACTCGTCGTGCTGAAGACCCAGTTTCGATTCCACAGTATGTGAAGCCCATTTCTGGTGTCGCTTGCTGTGATATTGCTGGAATATTGCTGAAAGCAGCGTAAAACCTTACTCACTCACTCTTCAGTTAGCCTTGTACATGACTGAAGCCAGTATATTCTGTGCAGCACTTGGCATTTCATCAGTGCAGGGCCTCTATTGTTTTGGTTTGAGAACTTAAGGTGTGATGTTGTACACATGCCTGATTTAAATACACCCATAACCATTGACTTAGTGACTCTAAATACAGACTACAGACATGTGAAGATGACGGTTAGAATTGGTCTTCAGTAACCCATGCTTCTTGTAAGAGGCTACTAACAGGATTGGGTGGTCAGGCTTGGTTAGCACTTTACATCATATGCCAATTGTATAGATCAATGCTTATGCTGTTTATCACCGGATTGTCTGGTCCAGACTTGATTATTTACAGACAAGAATATTGCTGAGTGCAGCGTTATACAACAAACCAACCAACCAAGCAAAACAAAACAGGCCATAGGTAGGAAGGTGTTTATGGGGGATGGTGAGTGCAGCGTTATACAACAAACCAGCCAACCAAGCAAAACAAAACAGGCCATAGGTAGGAAGGTGTTTATGGGGGATGGTGGTACAGAGGCAAACAGCACCATAATTTACTTATGTTCTTAAGGTTTATGCAGATAAGCACCAACCCCATGGGCTTTTTTGTAAGCACCACATCCTTGGGTTTCACAAAGACGTTAACATGTAAAAGGATGATGTAAGTCCTGCTTCAGTTCAGCCCCTCTCCTGCATGAAACGAGGTGTGGTTAAAGCGTCATGCTGGAAACCCAGTTGCGATTCCCCACATGGGTACAATGTGTGAAGCCCATTTCTGGTGTCTCCCGCCGTGATATTGCTGGGAATTGGTTATAATCTCATAATTGATGATTGGTTCATTACAACCGATCAATCATAGAAAATAATTGGTTAGCATCATTTATGAAATTTTCCTGATTATTTTTGTTAATGGACAAAAAAATTAAGAAAAACATGTAGTTCTTTGGTGTTGTTGCAAATTGCACAAAATGCATTTGCAATTTTCACATCTTTAAAGGATGACTAATGGGTTAGGAACATTCATTTCTTGGAGTCTTTAAGATAAATTCAATCATGACTTGGAACGACAAAACCAACCTTGTGAAAAAAATTGTTAATGCAAACCAGTGTCCCAGAAATATTTGTGTTCGATTATGAGAAAACATTATCGATTGCTTGGTCGTTTAGTCACTGCGACCAATTTTCGATTATTTCAATTAATCGAATACCACTATGGAATATTGCTAAAAATGGCATAAAACCCAACCCAACCCGCTCCTGCATCAACTGACACATCCTGAGATTAGTAAAAATATTTTTAAAGTTGCATTACTATAAATTTGTTTTCATTTACCTCCTTGGAAACACTACTCACGCCCCTGTTTGAGTTCTGAGGGATGTTGTGTACATCCTTTCAACCCGCCTGAGTAAACAGTCTAAAGTGTGTTTTAAAATGGTGGAAAAACTGGGATTTATTGAGATTATGTCATTAGGCATCTTGCATCTGTCGTACTATTTGTGCCAGCGTTTCATGACGAATGGCAATACATGTACAGTGGTCCTACCTCAAGCAGCTGTTGACATCAGATGGCTGCCCCCATGATGCCTGTCTTATAGTCTATCTCATAACCCCATGCCACATCGCTTTTACCCAGCCCAACTGAAATCTCCACACAACAGTCCTATTGAAACACAAAATGAAGCAAGTCTAGGTTTTCCTGTCAGAATCAGTTTTCACTTGGGTTCCTTTTAAATTTTAATGGTACAGTAAAAATTCAATATTTTTAGAAACTAAGTATTGGTGAGGTAGTTTAGTGGTTAAAGTGTCCACTTGTCACGCTTAAGACCAGGGTTCAATTCCATGCATAGGTACAATGTGTGAAGCCCATTTCTGGTGTCACCCGCTGTGATAGTGCTGGAATGTTGCTGAAAGCGGAGCAAAACCAACTCACTCACTCACTCATGCATTAACTGACACACCCAGATATAAGTTGAAAAAATTCAAAGTTGCCTAAATATAAATTTGTTTTCATTTACCTCCTTGGAAACATTACTCCCCTGTGCGAGTCAAGAGGACAAGAGGAATGTTGTGTACATCCTATCAACCTGCTTTGTATTGAGTAAACAGTGTAAAGTGTGTTTTAACATGGTGGACAAGGCTGGTAGTGGAGTTCTTATATTCAGTGCTTTTTCATCACTAAAAGGTGTGCGCTTAGCTGTAGGAATGTCACTTCCTGAGATAGATAGCCCTCCCAAGTCTCATTTGAGCAACGTCTGTCATGTTGGTATAAACCCACTCAGTTGTTCAAGTTTTCAATGCAGATATTTGAATACATTTTAATGTTTACTTTCCTGTTTGAATTATATGTGAAGTAAGGCTTCAAAATGTCCATAATGAAAGCTCTCAAACTTAGGATTGGTGTCGCATTGTGACCAGAAGTATGTTAAACCAGTAAAAATATTATGAAAGCTGTTTTTTGAAACTGGGCTCTGTTAACGTTCAAGTACATACTCACCGTGAATAGCTTCAGTATTGCTGATGGAGCGTTAAACATTCATGACATGGTAAGGCATGCCCTGATTCCTGCCCTTTTCAAGATGATACGAGTCTAACTTTGACCTAGTGACCCCACTTCAAGGGTCGGGGCGGTGGGGAAGCCTAGTGGTTAAAGTGTTCACTCGTCACGCCGAAGACTCAGGTTCGATTCCCCACATGGGTACAATGTGTAAAGCCCATTTGTGGTGTCCCCCGCCGTGATATTGCTGGAATATTGCTAAAAGCGTCATAAAACTATACTAGCGCACTCACCCATAGACGCCCATCCCGGGGTGTTCCTATGTTTTATGGTGGGGAAGTTCAAAATCAGTGGAAGTGGTAGTAAGGTTTGCTTTAAATGATCAGTTTCTATTTCCATGGTTGGATATTGTTTTTTGTGGGTTATTTCTTAGATGGGTGAATTGTGGTTGTCAGACCTTGGGGTAACTTAGTGGTTAAAGCGTTTGCTCATAACCCCAAAGACTAGGTTTCGATTTCCGACATGGGCACAATGTGTGCAGCCCATTTCTGGTGTCCCTGCGGTGATATTGCTGGAATATTCTTAACAGCGGCGTAAAACCATATTCACTCACTCACACATTCAAGGAATTGGCAACAATCCGTCAACAAGAATTACTTGCTTACAGCCACTCGTTTGTCAGCTCTAAACTGAATAGTACATATAGTCATCCACCTGATGAAGGAGTAAGGATACTTCGAAACGTCGTGACCCTTCACAATAAATAAGTTGTCATCCATAAACAAACTCTTGTCTTTACATATAGTCTGTCATGATACATGATACATCTTTGCTCGTCACACCAAAGACCAGGTTCGATTCCCCACATGGGTACAATGTGTGAAGCCCATATTGCTGGAATATTGCTAAAAGCGGCATAAAACCAAACTCACTCACTGTAGTACTTTTCCTTTCATAAAAGAATCTGGATTGAGTTTGGTAAGATGGAAATGTGTGACAATTAACTTTCTAAGTTTACAGACTGCCATGAAATAAATGTGATTTTTGTCACTGCCTTAAATAACATTCACTCTCATTGCCATGGTGTACCTGACCTTGTGTTAAACACGTATTTTGATATTCCAGACTGCCTGTTACCCCTGGAAGGGAAGAGTAAGCGAAAGAAAGGGAGTCAGGTATGTTGGCAGTGTATAATCTGTACTATTTGCATTGTTATGTGTGTCATTTCACAAAATGCTTCTATATTTATATTCAGTTAACAAGTCAAAAGGAATAGTCCAGAGCTCCACCATTTGCAACTTGCATTGTTGACCAAACCCATTTCCAAATTCAGAAATGTTTCGTCGTCCACCTTGTCTCTATTTTTGGGCAGCCATTGTACACCTGGAATATTGCCACCTGTGAAGATGCGAGTTAGAATTGGTCTTCAGTAACCCATGGTTGTCGTAAGAGGCAACTAGCAGGATCAGACTGCCCCCATATAGCTGGAATGCGGTGTAAAACTTAACTCAACCACTTTTATTTAAAGACTGCCTCCGTGATGTAGTGGTTAGAGCGTCCGACCAGAGAGCGGAAGGTCGCGGGTTCGATCCCCGACTGCGTCATACCAAAAGACGTTAAAATATGGTACTTGTTGGTCCCTGCCTGGCGCTCGGCATTAATGGTTACAACAAGGACTGGTCGGCTCGGAGTCAGTATAATGTGTCTAAGCGGGGTATTCATGTTTCACTGTGGCATGGTATCACAGTGAGCTAGCACTATAAAACCAGCTTCAGTCTGGGCTAGTACAAGCAGCCGCACATACACATACACACGCATGCATGTCGTCATAGGAGCGAAATATTCTCAAGCACGACGTAAAACCCATTTTCACCACCTCACCTCACCACATGTACAACAACTCTGAAAATGCTTATTTCAGGTCCAGTTCTATAATCTGTCACTCGCATGCTTTTACCTCAAAAGGCTTTCACTTACTTTGTTCATGGAATTCATTTGAGGTTAAATTGTCTGATATCATTTTTATATCTATTACTTCGGGGTTTTTTGTAACTAGAGTGTTCATTTGGGTTTTTTCTATATGGTTAAGTAAAGCTACTGAATATGTCAATGCTAATGCATTTTAATTCCCACAAACGCCCACAATATGAGTTAATATTTATAATAGATATTCAAAAGAGTGCAAGCAAACTGAATGCATCTAAGTTATTCCATCAGCCCTTTCCATAAAGAATTTAAACATGATCGAGGTCCTACTGAGGAATCGTTGGAGCATCAATTTTGAAATGATATTGCCCCTGTGTTTACGAGACATGAAATGTTTTACAACTTTCTATTGAGATCTGTAAAATGGCTCAAGTCTACTGGAATAATTTGGGGTTGTTTTTTTTTCAATTTTCTTTTTGTTATGTTTCTATTAATGTTTTTGTGAAAACTTAATTATATTTATGGGTTTCATCAAATATGGGGGCAGTGGGGTAGCCTAGTGGTTATAGTGTTCGCTCGCCAAAGACCTGGGTTTGATTCCCCACATGGGTTCAATGTTTGAAGCCCTTTTCTGGTGTCCCCCCTGCCATGCTTTTGATGAAATGTTGCTAAAAAGTGACATAAAACTAAACTGGCTCACTCACTTGTCAAATATGCTTGTATGTAATAATAATAATAATAATGCTAATTTTTACGCCTAGAATCCAACACGATGCTGCTCTCTGGCGTTACATTATTACCCCGATGGAGTTGTACTTTCAAAGCCGCTACTAAGCGCTTTGCGCAACTTTATAGGTCCGTACATCCGCTTCTCAGGTACCAATTTTGAACAGCTGGGTGGACTGAGTGCAATGTGGTCGAAGTGCCTTGCCCAGGGACACAACACAGTATGAGACCCAGATCACAAATTTTGGTGTCTCCACCGGGATTCGAACCCGGGCCTTTGGCGTGAGAGGCCAGCATGCTAACCACTACACCACCGTGCTCCACACGTACTCATCATGTACAAGTATGATGATTGATGATGATGGTCATGGCCATGTGTATTTAAATATTTTTGAAATAATTCACTTTAAAAATCTTTCTAATGCCACATGTTTTATAGGGTGCAGGCAATTGTCTGCCAAAGTTATCTCCCTTAGGTTGTTGCTCTGCCTCACTGAGATTTAAATGCTCTTATGCTGTGGTACTGTGTTAATAATATCACAGGAAATAACAAATGAGACTGACGCCTTCACAGATCTTTGGAATTAGTGATTCAGGCTGTGTGGATTGTATTTGTACTTCGTTCAAATGATAAATTATCTTTACAAGAGCAGATTGAATATAATTTGAGCATATGGAATATAGAATTAATATAAACTTGCATGAGCTACATTTTCTGCAAAATATTTCTTTTGGAAAATAGTTGTACACTTCATTCAAATGATAACAATGTTTATAGGAACATATTGAATATACATTTGACTTGCATGAGCTACGTGTTCTGCAAATTACTTATTTAGAAAATAATGTGCATTTACAAGATTTATCAAAAGTATCATTATGTTGGAAAGATTCATGTTTTGTTTCATCCATGGAGATCTCGCTCACTGTACGTGCTGACAAACCCAGTTCTGGTGGTGAGAGATAACTCAATCAGTTTCTGATTTTGTTGATTAGATTGTTCCGTTCTTACATGTGTCGTCACTCTTGATGATTCACAACAGTTTGTCAATGGTGTTATTGAAGGATGTGTTTTGTTTCCTCTAACAAAAGATATGAAAGTGTTTATTGTTACAGTGCCTCGGCTTTGGCCTTTAGGGGACAAAACCAGGAATGGTGTCGAGTGTGGATTCCTTGTTAAGATGCTTGCATCTCCTTGGTGAAAAATCTCACTCACACTGATGAATACAAACACTCACTCACTCAATCCATCAATCAACAAACCTGTCAACTCTCACATTTTTTCCTGTGAGTCTCGTGTTCTTTTAATGAAAATCATGTTTGCACGGCGAGTGTACTGAATTGCACATATTTTAGTAAAAGTACTTTCTAAATGTCACTATATAAATGTTTTCACCTCAAACGGCCATTTTAGATTACTTGGAGCACAGGCAAACTGTAGCACAAATAGGGGTGCACAACAAAGTGAAAATGAGCAAAGGTTGGCAACATGCTTCCCTCGCTTTTGATATCAAAATAAAATGTCGCCACCATTAAAGGAAGAGACCCATTCCCTCACAGGGTTGTGCTTTCAGATTTCCAACCTCATATTGAATAATTACTCACAAAATATATTTAATTCAACATTTAGCGAAACATTTTCCAAAATACAGTGAAAACAAAACACCACAAAAAACATTTTCAGCTGGGGGGCTTCACCCTGGACACAACCGGAGTCTGCAGCCCGTATGGCCCGCTTTTAATGGTTCTCACTTCTTGGACACATTTTGGGTTAACAGCTGTGACTCGCTCGCTTGTTTAATTTTTTTACAAACCCCAGTAACTAGCATGGTACAAGGCTGTGTTGACACAACAGTACGAGTGACTTAGTGTCATGGTTTAACAGCTTCTGTCCAGACTACATAAATCAGGTTTGCGATCAGAAATGTGACATGCTGTTGTTAAATGCTATTGATCTATATAATACCTAGCGTTAGGATATAACATTAATTATTCTCGAATGCTAAAAGTCGTTACCAGTAATTGATTAGAAACCTGTGGAGATTGTTATCAGTGTCTTTTCAAACCAGGTGGGGTAGCCCAGTGGTTAAAGCGTTCACTCATCACGCCGAAGACCCAGGTTCAATTCCCCACATGGTTACAATGTGTGAAGCCCATTTCTGGTGTCCCCTGCCGTGATATTGCTGGAATCTTGATAAAACCATTAAACCATAGTCACTCACTCACTCGCTCACTTTTCAAACCATTTCAGTGATTTATTTTTCAGTTAAATGCAGTTCAATTTCAGTTTATCATGAGCACTTTGTTTGAATATCTTTTCAAATTTTTCTAAAACATTTCCTGCATAAATGTGTCTTTTGTAAATGAAAAGATGACATCTAAAACAAATGACTTGTCAGGATCAGTAAATGGACAATACCAAATCACCTGTCAGATTCTGTGTCAGAATTGGTCTTCCGTAACACATGCTTGTCTGAGAAATGACTCAGGATCAGGTGGCCAGACTTGGTTGATGCGTGTCATCAAATCCAGATTCCGAAGTCCAGTGCTCATGATATCAGTCACTGGATTGTCTGGTCTTGAGTTGATTATTTACAGACCACCTGCAGACAGGTGGAATATTGCCGAGTGTGACAATAAACAAACTTAATTAAGTTGGTAAACTAACCTCCATTCAAACACATTTTATTTGAAAATAACATTGGAAAAAGATCCTGTCTCAATCCTGATTTTTTTTTTTGTTGTTGTAAGAATTTATTTTTTTTCCTTTTATTTACCAAGAAAATAACTATTATGCATTAATTTCATGATATAAGCCAGGTACAACGTATGGTACTGTTTGAAAAGTAGTCCTACATTGAATTGAATTATCCGACACTCTGTATAATCCGACATTTTTTCCCGGTCCCACTGAGTGTCGGATTATACAGAGTCCACTGTATAGAAATATTGGTATTTCAGTGCATAGAATAAATGTCATGTTCTGACTGGCTTATCCAATCAATGTACCCAGCCTACAAGCCAGAAACATTTTCTATGTTAAATGCTGGAAATGCCGAACTGTGCGAATTCGTTTGGTACTTCGTGTTAGTAGTATTTGGGTTGTTGCAGAACTCTGGTACTCATCATTATGATCCCATACCCGTACTTCAAACAGTTTAAAATTAATATTGGTGTTCGGTAAGATAAATACGTTGTTCACTGGTCCCTCGGGACCATGGGTTGATGTACCCTATGTTTGTTTATGTTCCCCTCACGCTTAGGGCTCAGGGAACATAAACAAACATAGAGGGTACATCAACCCATGGCCCCCAAGTGAGTGAGTGAGAATGGTTTTACACAGCTTTTAGCAATATTCCAGCAATATCACGGCAAGGGACACCGGAAATGGGCTTCACACATTTTACACATGTGGGGAATTGAACCCGGGTCTTCGGCGGGACAAGCGAATGCCTTAACCACTAGACTACCCCACCGCCCGTTCCCCTAGTGACCAGTGAGCAACTTATACTGTTTACAACAA